GGCTTAAAACTCACGCTGGGCACGTGTGCGTGCGTGCCCAAGATCCCGAGAGGAGAATGGAGGAGAAGGGATTGCGGCGTGACCATCCCCCCTGGGGGGTGATTTCTCGCTTTCTGTCTCTATGTCTCTCTCTGTCTGTCTGGCGAGCGCACGCGCCCTACAGTGAAAATCTCTCCAAAAAAAAAAAAAAATGTGGTCCCCAGGCCAGCCTCAAGATCCCTGGAAACTTGTTACAAAAGCATATTCTTGACCCCCCCATACCCCCAGAATCAGAATCTTAGAGTAAGAAGGGGTGCAACTGTGCTTTAAACGGCCCTTTTAGGATTTCCTGATGCATGTCAAAATTGGAGCCACTGGAGTCAAAAAGCCATGGCGGAATGGGCCACTATCTTATCCAAAATTGTGGAGTTTTTTCCTCATTGTTTCATCTGTGCATAAACTTGTTGAATGCATTCTATATACCAGGCACTGGGCTAGGCACTAGAAATACAGGAGCAAGCAAGACAAATGTTGGCCTGGCCCTCACCGATCTTATTCGCAGACAATTTACCCAGAACCCTGGCTTTGATTCTTGCCTCTTGTAGGATGTTTGTTTCACAAAGTACCATGAATTATAGCTTATTTTACCATCATGCCCTGGAGAAGTAGGCAAGACAGAGGTAACTTCTTCCCATTTACCAGTGGAGTCACTTTGGCCCTACACAGTTAAAACTCTTTGCCCAAAGTCACAGTTGCCCATGGCCCCAAGTGCCCACTACCCAGCAGCACTTGCTGTGTAAGGGGCATTCCCTTGCCATCTCTGCTCTGCCATGCAGGAGGGTCTCTGCAGGTCTCCAGCTGGTCTGGCTCTGAAGCACAGGCCTGGCCTTGTGCCATCTCAGCCAAGGACAGATGTCCTTGGACACACGCAGTCACCTAATCACCTTCAGACCTGGGAGAATCTCTTGAACATATTCGAAGACTTGATAGAAGGTTCAGCCAGACTGTCAGCTTCTTCGAGCGGATTATATCGAGAAATTTCATGAGGAGCAACTCTCTTGGCCAAAATAAATATTAACAAAATGAAGGAGTGGGGTGGGGACTGCAAGAGAAGAGAAAGGAGAACAGCTGGCAGGCCGGCTGGGCTCTGCAGAGCCCCAGCTCACAGCTTCACAGGCCTCTACCTTTCAAGGGCCGCCCAGCTCGTCGCCCCATCCCCTTCAGTCTGGTGCACAAAAAGAAAAAAGGGAGCTCCGCGTGGGAGTCAAAGTGTGATGTGACTGGGTCAAGGGAGGAGTGGGTCAGGAGTGGCGCCAATCAATAACGCTGCAAATTCTAGTTCGTTTGGCCCTTGCCGAGCAACGGAGCTCTTTGAGCTAACAGGTCCCTCCCACTTGTGGCTCGGGATATAAAGGATGACTCCTGTGTGACTGTCAGACGCCTGCGCTGATTGGTCGACCCAGCCCCTTTGTGGAGCATCACAACCTCGGCAAAGGGCGCATAAAGCAGCTGAGCCAGAGAGATTTACAGCGCGCCACGTGACAGGTTCCCTCCCACAGACCGGAGAAGAGACACAGTCTGCTAGGAGTGACTTTTCAAATTATCTGCAGAAAACATTAGTGGATATTTTCCCATCTGCATGCCTCCAGGCCTTATTGAGTCATAAAAAGTAAATGATTTCCCTGAATGCTTTGACAAACCTGATAGTTGCAAGCCATTTTCTAGCTGATTGATTTGCCATTATGCATCAGAGTGTCTCTGAGCATAAAGGCTCACTGGCCAAGACCCATGGAGAAAAAACCCCGGGCAGCTCACAAGAGGAAGTCTTGGCAGAGGAAAAGAGATTAGGGACAAGGAGCTACAGGACAGTTTAGGAAGGCTTCTAGAGGAGGTGGCTTACAAGATAGAAGTAGGTGGCAGGCACCAATTCACAGGGAAGGCGGGAGGAGGGAATAAAAACACAAAAAGCATAAACAAGCAACTCCCCTCTGCCTGCTCTATGCCAAGGTCATAGAGCACAGACACCAGGACCAAAGGCTAAAAATAGGCAACTAATTGCTAAGGACTGCGGCTCTAACGCTGGGCCTGCAGAATGGTGGAGAGACCTGGAGCAGTGACCTTGGGGCCTGCAGGATGGTGGAGAGACCTTGAGCAGCGACCTTGGGGCCTGCAGGATGGTGGAGAGACCTTGAGCAGTGACCTTGGGGCCTGCAGGGTGGTGGAGAGACCTTGAGCAGCGACCTTGGGGCCTGCAGGATGGTGGAGAGACCTTGAGCAGTGACCTTGGGGCCTGCAGGATGGTGGAGAGACCTGGAGCAGTGACCTTGGGGCCTGCAGGATGGTGGAGAGACCTGGAGCAGTGATCTTGGAGTCAGAGGTGGCTTGATTTAGAAGGAAGAGCACATTGATCCTTGCTCAACTTCCACACCTTTCCTGGCAGCCATTCGGCCCAGCTGTTTGGAAGAGGTGTGCTCTGCACCCGCTTCCTGAGCTACCCTTGACCTAGCGGGAGTGGGGAGATGGGCCTGCGAGCTCTGTCAGCTGCAGCAGGAAGAAGGAAGACGAGATGCTGGGGTGGTCACTTGTCAAGTCCACACGTCGTTATTCTGGGCAGTCACAGTTCCGACCTTTCCCAAGGGTGACGTCAACGGCCTTGCCCTCTGCTGGATATTTTAGTCCCCTGGGGCTGGGTGGCTTCCTGAACACACAGTCTGGCCCATCCTGAACCTGCTACCTTTGGGGATGGGGCATTAAAGGGTCTGCTCCTCCTCTCCCTGCAGAGGAGGGGGAGTCTTTACTAATGCCACTGATTTACTGAAGGTCTTTGAAGGGTTCACAGTGAATGTGGCACAGCCAGAGCAACCGAGGACAGGCACTGTGGCCAGCCAGGCGGCCAGAACCTCCCCATGGAGCATCTGCTCACCGGTGAGGAAAATAAAACACAGCCCCCACTCAAGAAAAAACAGAGGCCAGAGAGCAGTGCAGTGGTAAAACGCAGTGCTCTGCAAGGCAATCCCACATGAAAAGGTTCCTGGTTCAAATCTGGAGACTTCCCTGAGTATGCTGGGAACTCACGTGCCCACAATCAGGGGGAGACTGACTAGAGGCTGGAGATGGATCATGGCATCGGGATCCTGTTGGGGAAACCATCTCTCTCTCTCAAGAAAATAAACATGGGACCAGCAGATGGTTATGTTGCTGGATTCCCATGTAGTCAACTGCGGTTTGAGTCCCGGATCTGGTGGGGTGATTTCTCGCTTTCTGTCTCTCGGTCTTTCCAGCAAGTGCACAACTGCTATAGCAAAAATCTCTCTAAAAGAAAAAAAAAAGAAATTTTTAAAAATATATAAACATTAAGTGTGAAATGTGGTGTACAAAATAAAGACAAATGCTTAGGCTTCAAGAAGAAGTGAGTGGGGACCATCAGGAAGGATTTTGCAAGGAGGTGACCTTTGCGCCAGCTCTAAGGAAGCCCAGACAAAAAAAACAGGAAGAGGAGCATTCACAACAGATGCACAGGAACCAGGGCGAGCACGAGCAAAGGCCCTGAGGCACCCAGCGCCATCTGAGACCCTGCCTGGCGGATGTTCTCTGGGGGTTACATGACAGCAGACCAGCAGGAGAGGGAGAGTGGTCTTAGGTGACACCATCAAAAAACTCAATTGTAAAGGAAGAAACATGCAGAAACAAGGTCTAGGACCCTTTCTCTGGACAAAGGAGGGATCTAGGACGAAAGAGTACCCCTATGGCATCTGTATTATAGATTGTCCACAGAGAAGATGCCTGAATGCCTCAGTGTACCCTAATAAGGGCCCCACCTCTCTATCTCCCCTACCAGTTTTTTTTTTTTTAATCCATAACAAGGGGGCCAGCAGATGGCATGGGGGTTAACAGGACTTGGCCGACCACTGTTCGAGTCCTGGACCTGGCAGCTTAGTTTCTCACTTTCTCTCTCTCTTCCTCTCTCTCTCTCTCTCTCTCTCTCTCTCTCTCTCTCTCCCTCTCTCTCCCTCTCTTTCTCTCCTTCTCCCTGCCTCTCTGGTCAAATTAAGATAGAGATGATAGATAGATAGATATAGATAGATAGATGATAGAGATAGACAGATGATAGATATCGATAGATTGATAGCTAGATAGAGATAAATAAATAAAATAAAGTTTAAAAAAGTACCTGGTGGTACCAGTGGGACAGTGCTGCTGCATGCTGGTGGGGGCCACATGGGAGGCCTGGGTTTGGTTCCCCAGCCAACCTAAATAAGCCAGACTCCATGCACACCTGTGGTCCTCACTGACTGGGAAGCTGGGGCAGGAGGATTGTAACATGGTGAGACCCTCAAAAATGTCCATTTCTCTCTCTCCCTCCTGCTCTCTCTCTCTCTCTCATTAGAGAAAAAAAAATCCAAAACAAACGCCCTATATAACTCAGTCACAGCAGTGAGCAGAAGATTTCGTCCCACACATGTTCTTCTCTGCCCTGTCTCTTTGCTGACACAGAGCTCCTCTTTGGAGAAAGGCCCCAGAGACCCCTACCAAAGCCTACCTTGAAGGGCCATCAAAGATCACCTCGTCAGGGCATATTGCCCTTGTCATACTCCACTAGTCTCTTTATTGCCCCTGTCATACTCCACTAGACTCTTGCCCTCTGCACCTCGAGATGTTGCAGCTTGTTCTGGAGCTTTCGTGAAAGAGGCCCTTTTCCCCACATCAAATGAAGGGGTCCTGGCAGGAAGTTCTGAGACTTTTCTCCCTGTGTTCCCTGTAACTCCCAGGTCCCATGTAACTGCTCCGTACATGTGGATGGAATGTGTTGAGCGCATCTTCCATTAGGGAGTGAAGAGCTTCAGGGGGATGACTCCCACGTCCTCCTGCTCTGTCCACTCGTCCCCAGGCGAAGGCCCTGCCTTGGAGCATGGGCTCTTATCCTATTTCCTGTCACCTCTGAGCCCTGTTACCCTCCACCCCATGATTTAGACCATGCACATTTTATAGACGAACTGAAGAGCTTCCTTTTCCACCTGTAGGCACAGAACGAGCTAATGAATTCAGGGTTGTACCTGGTGCTGCTCCTTCATCTCTACGAGCAGAGGTTTGCTGAGCTCATGAGACTCAACTACAGCCAGACTCGGGGAGAGAGGGTGAGTCTGGCTCTGACCCAGAGCCTTCGGCAGCAGCCCTAAAACCTGGCAGTATTGTCTACTACAGGTGCAATCTGTTGAGGTCCTCACGGTCACTGGTGAGACATGGGACTGTCTTCATTAGGATTAAGATTTAGTGGCTGCTAAGTGAGCCTCCAGCTAACAAGTGAGTGATTGGCACATAATTGCTGACTATCAAACACGAACAGTAATTAGAGGTCATCGATCGTCATAGAAGTACGTGAGCCCCTTGGGAAAGTTAGCCTCCCACTGATACAGGACAGCCTGGACGCCGTGCATTATGCCTGGACGTGCCCACTGCCCAAGCAGGGGACCTTCCCACAGGAAGGCCAATTAAGTAGCCATCAAACCAAAAGAGGAGCCGCTTTGCATCTGGCTTGGGTTAGGTTACGGTAGTGTGTCTGCCTATTGAAGGAGACTGGCTTCCAGGGAGTAAAGGTGCTGATGGTGGCACCATTTGTCATAAGAGAAAGGAACGATGGATTCTCTAGGAATGATCATCCATGGCAGGCCTACCTTTAACAAAAACCGAGGTCATGTGATGTGGAGGGAGAAGCCTGGCTCAGCTACTAACCAGAGCCTGGTCTTGGCAAAGTCGGCAGAATCAGGCAGTTGGACAGGCCACCCTCTCAAGTGTCTTAGTGCCCTTGGTGACTATCAAGTCAGCCTTGAGCTCCAAGAGACTTCCTGCTTCTCAAAGCCCTCTCCGTGACCAAGCCAGGCAAGACGCCACAAGAACAGGCTCCTCCCCTTCTTGAGCGTCGTACCAGGGCTGGCATGCTTGCAGTGTTTGAGGTTCCCAGGACATCCCTTACGGCTTGCATCTTGACTGCTGCTCATGTCAGGAGGTCATGACTGGAAAGGGAGCTTGTGTGGCAGTGAACAAGCCACCAATGGTGCCATGAGGCTGAGTGACACTGCTTCGCCCATCCTACATACCTCTTTATCTCTTCACTTTCTCTTCCCTTCTCTTCCTCTGTCTCCTCTCTCTTGCTAATTATCTTTCTCTCCTCCTCCTCCTCCTCCTCCTCCTCCTCCGCCTCCTCCTCCTCCAAGATGACCAGAGGCACCTACCAGTGCCAGGCACTGCCTGGAGGTTAAAATCCATCATCCCAGTCATTCCTCCCACTGCCACAGACTGCATGACTGTGGCCACTGCAGTCCACTTGGAGCCATCCCTGTGACAAGTGCTGGACTCAAACCATCAGTCTTCTAGATTAGAATTCTAGATTGAGTCTTATTCTTTTTTTTTTTTTTTGAGAGGTTTTTCACTATAGGGCACGTGCGCTCGCCAGACAGAGAGAGACAGAGAGACAGAAAGCGAGAAATCACTCCCCAGAGGGGATGGCCACGCCGCAATCCCTTCTCCATTCTCCTCTCGGGATCTTGGGCATGCACGCACATGCGCCCGGCGTGGGTTTTAAGCCACCAGGTCTGGGACACGAACCACAGTCGACTTCGTGGGAGTCCAGCGACATAGCCAGTACACTAACTGCTGGTTCCCAAGTCTTATTCTTTTTTTGGTTGAAATTCTCTCCTCAAACCTTGAGCTCTCAAGTAACAAAACATGCTGGGTCTCTGCCAAGATATCTCCTCAGGAATCTCACCCTCTTTTTGACCCAAGCCTGTCCTTCCTTAACTCTTCCATGGCTTTAATGGTGACATAAATTCCTTAGAGAAATACATTTTTTAAAAAAGAAAAGTACAGGAAGCAGGAAATGATTCTTTGTTAACATTTCTATAACCTCATTTTCATGATTCTACATCCTTTTACTGAACTTTTTCTTGCACATTGAACTTCAAAGCACCCAGGGGTGGTAGAGGTTACAGAACAGCCCAGTATCAAGGCACTCAGGCAAGCAGCTTCAGCCACCAGGCCTGCACAGCAAACATGAGAAGACAACAGTTCATCCCAAAAGACAAAAAGCCAAGGCCCTGAAGCACTGACTCTCAAGAAACCTCCAGTTAAACTGTCCTAGAGAGGGAGTAAGTTACACCAGGAGCAATCTGTGGAAGATAGAAAGGACCAGGCCACACTCTGTTCTCATCACAAGCTGACATTTTACTTGAGAACCCATGAACTAGATCTTGTCCTCCTAAACCACTAAGCAATAACTGGTATAAATAACCAGTTAAAAGGCATCCAGATGAAAGGGAGAGACCAAATGGCTTTTATCAAATATACACTGTCTGGATTTGTGTCTTAGTATTTCTTATAGGAAATTCTCAGATTTGGGCCAGTAGATGGTGTGGAGGTTAAGGCAGCTGGATTCCATATGACTGACTATGTGGTTCAAGTCCTCGAGCCAGCAGCTGGAAAAATACACCTGGCACCTGTGTATGCATGCCTGAAATCCTGAGACGGAAATGGAGGAGAAGGGATTGCGGTGTGGCCATCTCCCCTCATCCCCCTCCCCCCCGGGGAGTTCTCTCTCTCTCTCTCTGGCAAGGACATGTGACTTATAGCAAACATTTTAAAAGGAAAAGAAATACTCAGAATCTGAGGGTAACATTTAGCAAAATAGAGATGCTAAGTTGGAAGATTACCCCCCACACTTAACCTACCAGAACTGCAGAACTCATTCACGTTGGGTTTCTTGGTTGAGCGTCACTGAGACTCAGCCCCAAGGGCCTGTTGGTGGTGGTCACTCTTCCCTCATTCATTCATGCACTCCCCCGTACCGGTGCTGGGATAGGGATCAGGGACAGCGGCTACCAGACATGCTGCCCACCCCAGACATGATGCTAACCCCAGACATAATGCCAACCCAGATGTCATGCCACAATGCACCTTTCTTTGAGAAGCTTATGATCAAATTGAGAGGGAAAAAAAAAAAATGGAAAGAGAGCCCACTAAATTCTTAGAGGCCGAGAGATTGTCATCAGATCTTCCCTGGATAGGGTTTTCTGGGGCTCCAGTGGCCCCGTAGATAGTTTGTCTCCACAGTGAAGTAGCCAGCTATGTGTGAGCTGGGCCGACTGTCTCTCATGATGCTGGGCACGCAGTGAGTCATATTTGACTGCTGACCATGTCCCAGGTACCACGGCTGTCAGGAGCAATGAGTGGTTCCACACAGGCCGAATGACGAGGCAGTCTGCCTGGCTTGGGAGCATAGAACCCCTATCTCTTTTGTATCCCACAGTCCTGCAATACCTTGAAAATACCTGGCACTTTCAGACGCGCAATAACTTTTTAATGTACAATGAATTAATTAATCAGAACCTACTTCTTCCAGGAGGCTTCCCGAGTTATAATTTGGAGAAACTGACAGTAAAAAATTTATAGAGAAAAGTCTTCTAGGTAAAGGAATACTTTCAAGTTTAAGTATATTTATTTACTCAAAGATTTTCTGCATGTCTACTATGTGCATGTTCTAATCCAGATTCTGGAAATGCAAAGATAATTGAGACGCCCCTTGCCTATAAGGGATCCAGAGTGTAAAGAGAGAGCATACGTGTAACCAAGAGTACCCAGGAATGTGCCTGGGTTATGCCAGAAAACTGAGCCAATATGAAGGCACACAAAGCAGAGTTCGATGGACTCTGCCATTTTCGCCCCTCCTTCTACCCCTCTGTAGGACAGTCTCTAGCCAAGCTCTTCAGCTCTTTAGGGACACAAGCCAGTGCTTCCAAGGCCTGGCTTTTTATCCAAGCAGGTTGTACCCTTTGCTCTCCATCTTCCCACTGTTCTGGGAGCCTGAAGGCAAAGCTGCTTCTTCCACCCATCATCAGTCGATCGACTGAGGAGATATTTAGACCAAGTCTTGGAGAGTTTAGGGTAGACATGGGTAGCTGGGGAGGGAACGGGTATCTCATGCAGAGGGAACCACAAAGGCGTAGTGACATGGAAAGGCCCACGTGTTTGGGAAAAGTCAAAGGTTTGCGTGGCAGGGAGAGTTTGTGGCTCTGGAGGCCACTGAACAGTGTCCAGCCTGGGACTAACATGGTGTTTGAGCACTAACTTGGGCTACCACGTGGAAGGTGGGCTGGAGAGGAAGAATCCAGCTGGGAGGCTGTTGCAGTGGCATAAGGTAATAAGGGGGCCAGTGTGGGGTGCACTGAAGAGGGGAGGAACACACCTGATGGACATTGAGTGAGGGATGGGCTACAGAAGCAGCGAATGTGATTCTCTGCAAGGGCCCAGCAGGAAGCTGGCCTCCTCACTTCAGGTGCTCATGGTGGGAGCAACTCCAAAGGACTCCACTTCACCCACTGGCCTCACCCTTTAGTCGAGTGGGGACACAGGTGGGCCTGCGAGGTGAAGCACTTTCCCTTCAGCACCCACGTGAGACACTTCATCATCCGGGGCCCAGATAACCCTCGGAAATCTCCTGTCCTGGGCTTCTTCCGCCCTGGTCTTGTCCTACCCATTATTACAGTGGCCTCCTTTGTCCTCTGCCCCGGGTGAGCCATTATTGGTGAAAGCATCCAGCCAGGTGGGAGGGGAGGGAATCACAGTGGTTGACCTGGCAGGGTCTGGAAGTAGCTCTCCGTTCCCCCTGGTCCATTCACATGTGAAGCCGATGGACTACGTCTAGGGCGTCTCCCCACTCACACCATTTCTCCAAGACCAGAACTCTTGCCTCAAAGGACCAGATCCACCCAGAAGTAGCTCTCCGCTCCTGCTCACCACGGTGGGCTTGGGTGGGGTGTGAGAGTGGTTAGATAGACCTGGAGGCAGGTTGAGGTCGTCTCGGCAGCCCAGAGAAAGCAGAGGCAGTGGTTAGCACAGGCCTGATGTATAACCGGGGCCCAGATAACCCTCGGAAATCTCCTGTCCTGGGCTTCTTCCGCCCTGGTCTTGTCCTACCCATTATTACAGTGGCCTCCTTTGTCCTCTGCCCCGGGTGAGCCATTATTGGTGAAAGCATCCAGCCAGGTGGGAGGGGAGGGAATCACAGTGGTTGACCTGGCAGGGTCTGGAAGTAGCTCTCCGTTCCCCCTGGTCCATTCACATGTGAAGCCGATGGACTACGTCTAGGGCGTCTCCCCACTCACACCATTTCTCCAAGACCAGAACTCTTGCCTCAAAGGACCAGATCCACCCAGAAGTAGCTCTCCGCTCCTGCTCACCACGGTGGGCTTGGGTGGGGTGTGAGAGTGGTTAGATAGACCTGGAGGCAGGTTGAGGTCGTCTCGGCAGCCCAGAGAAAGCAGAGGCAGTGGTTAGCACAGGCCTGATGTATAAATCACCAGGTACCCAGGGCTGCCACTCTGGGTGAAATTCCATCCTCTCCCTGCCCGCCCTCTACTTGGGCACAGAAGGGGGCCCAGGGACCAGCGCCATCTCCATGCTGGCCAGGCAGTTGCCCCAGTAACAGTGTCCAGCACCCCAGCCTGCCACAAAGCCCCTGTTCTTCCTAGAGAAGAGCATCAGAGCCCACATCCGTGCAGCCTGGCACAATGGGCTCCCACGGAGGACACAGTGTTTCTTATTGTGGTCTAAAATGCCATAAAGTCAGAACAAAGAGAGAGCCCAGAGCCCTGATGGGTCTGCTGCTTCCTGCCGGGCAGAGAATACAACCGATTGTTTAAAAGCCAGTGGTGAGGCAAGCGGCCAATTAGCAGGGCCTCACCCCGCCTGTAAGTGGGGCTGGGACCATCCGAACGGGATTCTGCTGTTCAGATCAATGGCTGAAAGGAAATGAATCCCTTGACAATGCCAAATTTAGAAGCCCCAGATAGCAAAGGTGACCGAGGTATCACCACGGCTGTGTGGCTGTGCTGAAGATGAGGCTGATCCTGTTGTGTATCGACACTACCTGGAGCACCTCCGCCTGGTCCCCGGCCCCTTTAAGGTGATGTAAGGGATTCCTAGAACATTCCTGAGACAGGGGACTGAGACATCTGTTCACAATTGCATTAGAAAAACAATTCATTTCTCATTGTCTTCTTTTTCATAGTTGTCAAGAAACTACCCACAACCCAGACCGGAGGAAAACGAAAGTAGGTTTGAAGGTCAGTCCTGCCATTCTGAGGGTGTTCGCTGTGACTCTTTTTCTGTTGAACCCAGTGCTGTGGAAGGAAGTAATGACCACCACCCAGAGGAAAAACTAACCCCGCAGAGCTTGGGAAGTCTAACTGCAGCGAATCAGGAAGACAGCCCAAGCACGAGTGCAGAGCAGATAAGAACTTGAATTCATCCCGCGAGGAGAAGGCCACCAAAGGGGCAGGGGGGATCGCAGGTTTCAGATACGCTTGCCCTTTTCTTGCTGGGATTCCCCAGCGCCTGGCACTTCAGGAGCTTTTGGGGTATTTTACTGCCAGGATCCTTTGGGAGCTTCCTTCTCAAGTCTGGGGGGGCTGTTTGGTTATCACCTGAAAGAACCCCTTGTCTTTACCAACTGGGGGCCTCCCTAGATTTTTCTCACTGTAGGCCCAAGCAGGTGGGGCAAACAGGTCTCCTGGGAAAGGTCCCTCCAGGAGACAGGTGGGAGGACAGGCTCCCTGCTCCTGACTATTCCAAAGAGAACCTCACTGGAAAAAATACGCGCAAGTAACGCCAGAGGGCTTGAAGTCAGCGGGGAGAATAAACACTGTGAGGGGCGGGGCACTGGTCCTTAGAGGTTACGAACTCCCTGCCCGGGAGGTTTAGCACAGCGGCTCCTACACTGGCGGGGCCATCAGACACCTGGGAATTCACTGGCAGAGATCCCTTGCAGGGACGGCGTGAAGCCCTGGAATCTTTTTCACTCGCCGCCCCTGGCGATCCTGATGCGGTGGGATTTTGTTTTTTTTTTTCTTTGGCGGGGGGTGGGGTGGGATGGGGGGTGCCAGAAGACCTGCCTGGAAGAGGTGTTGACCCAGCTCAGAACCCCACAGGGTGTGGCCAGGATTACTGGCCTGGAGATGCCCATCTGTTATCAGGGCACGCAGTCCTGCGAAGCCGGGCTGACCATTTTCAGAGACCCCGGGCGGGCCCTTCCTTCCGTTCACAAAAGGAACCCGCGAGGTGCCAGTCCTGGGCACCACCGCGGTGTCCAGCCGCGCCCGCCGGGGACCTAGCGCCCCCTCGTGCCCTCGCAAGGCCTCGGGGGATGCTTCGGGGGCCGCCCGCAGACCCCGGCCTCATCGCCTGGGCGGCCGACCTCTCCCCTGCCTCCCGCGGCGGGGCAGGGCGCAGCGAGGACTTAAAAGACCTTTGTGTCGCGGTCCCCACGGCGCCCCCCGGGAGACGCTCGGCGCAGCGACCCTCCTCGCGGGTCCTGAGCTTGGCCTTGGCGACAACGTCCTGCTCCGGAAAGGGCGTGACAGGCAGCTGCGTCCTCGCGCTTCGCCCGTCCGCCCCGACTCGGGTGAGGAGGACCCCGGGCAAGGTCCCCAACCGCGCCCTGGAGGCGCCGGCGGGCGACTCTCCGCGGTTCGGGGAGAGCTGCCGGGCTGGCGCGCCCGGCTGGGTTCGGATGGGCAGGGGCGACCCCTGGTGCCCAGTGCCGCCGTTGTCGCACTGCCGCCCGGGCAGACGCGGAGCAGCACGGAATCTTCTCCTCGTCCGGGGACCTGCGCTTAGGGATGCGGAGGGTCGCTCTAATCTCCGAGCCCGGACCCCGGGGGACACCTTCGTCTCTGGAGGGTCGAACTGCGTCCCCGAGGTGGGAGTCTCCCTGGAGAGGACCCTGCTGCCCTCGGGGTTGCTACGAGGCATGTGGTCCCACCAGCAGAGACCCACCAGTCCTTGGCCACCCCTCTTCAGGGAGCAAGGACCAGCTCTGGGTCAGGCGCCACCACCCCTGCGGGTCCCCTCTGTTAGGGGCACACGGTCTCCCCTGGAAGGGCCCGGAGCCCTGCGCACCCGGGGCTGACAGGGCGGAGGCAGAGGAGCGCCCAGCACAGGGCCCACCTGGCCAGTGGCAGCCCTTGCCTGGCTTCCCGCCAGAGCCGTTATGGACACGGGAGCATCCGGCTCCACATGCCCCAGCCCCCAGCTACACACACACACACACACACACACACACCAGGCCGCAGTCATCTTTGTCCCGAGCCCTGGCGTGACTCACCTGTTTGGCAGCACTTGGCCAATGAGGGTTGCCAGAGCTGAGTCACAGCTGTGACCTGCTGCCCTCACCTGGTTCAGGTAAACAGGGTGAGACACAGCGAGACATCAGGGGACGCCAGGTGGCACAGAACAGAGAGGTGCCAGTCTCTTCGTGGCTCTGTTGTGCCCATGCCAGCCTGTTTGCAGGGCACCTTGTCCTCTGTGCCTGGGAACCAAAGCCCCACAGAGGTGCCACAAGTGGCCCCAAGGTTCAGGCAGCTGGGGAGAGTCTCTGGGTTTGACAATTGTCGTACACTCTGTGACCCAGCCGCCCTGCCTGCCCTGACAGTTGCTTCCCAGCTGGCACAAACAAGACCAAGGGAGGGGAACAATACCACCTGCAGATACCCATCCAGGTAAGGGCAGGAGCAGGGACAGGCATGGGGCCCACGGCCAAGGCTGGGCCAGAGCACACCTTCTCTACTCAAACTCAGCGGCAGGAGCTGCTGCCCGAGAGCATAGGACAGGCGAAGCCTCATGTCAAAGGTCAAGCTGCGAAGATCCAGGCAGGGGGATGTCAGCTACCCCTGCTCCCTGCCCTCTTTCCATGGTCAGAAGCTGTTTCTAAACAGCTGGGGAGTGCTCTCACAGGCCAACGGGAAAAGCAATATATTGAGAACAAGCCTGGGCCCAAAAAATAAAGCCCCCACTCTCCACCTCCTCCACTGTGGCCCCACTGCCTCTCTGCTCTCTCCCGCTCCCTGCAGGCCGAGTTAGGAAGTGAGGATTTCTGTGGGGGAATGATCCTGGGAGGAAGCACAGGCTCCTCCAGTGCTCAGCAAACAGGTGCTGCAGCGGGTGTGGGGACGCTGAGGGGCCTCTGTTAGGGGCACACGGTCCAGCGGCCCTGGTCTGCCTGGAACCCCAGGGGGGCAGCCTGGGACTTCGCCAGGCCCACACTGCAGGTCTCCGTTTCCCCACACTGTCCCAGGCACTGTAGCCCCGTGTGCGGCTGGCCGCTGGGCTGGGAGGGAGAAGAGCAGCCGCAACGCCCCTCCATGACAGATGCACAATCTGCTGTGGCTCCAGGGCCTCAGAGACCTCCTTGCTTTCCAGATTCCGAGGCGGGAGATGGAAATGGAAGCAGCATCTCTCCAAGCCAGGTCGGCTAGTGAGGGAGAAGAGTCCGGAGCCCAGCAGAGACCTCTCTACCCAGCCACCCTCTGTGTCCCCGTGCGCTCCCTTCCTTCTCCTCATACTGACACCGAAACCAGTTTGCAGTGACATTTCACCTCGCACCACTCTCGTTTTGGGATCTGGCCTATCTTCGGCGGCAGCAGCCACCAGTCTCATCCCAGATCAGCCTGGGGCTGCAGATCGCCCCAGTTCTGCCCCTCAGCCAAGAAGCCCAAGAGAGCTCAGCAGCCCTGTGGGCCCAGCAGCCTGGGTTCCCACTGCTGAGGGTACCCATCCAGGCTTCCTTCCACCCTGAGTGCAATGGAGCCATGCGTTCAGTAAACCAACTTTATTCTCCCAGATTTGTTGGGCATTTATTTCAGTCTCGCTGGTCAAAGGCTGAGCGTCTCAAGGTCAAGGGAGAGGGAAGCACAGCTCATAGCTCCCTCTCACCTACACCTGTCCTTGTCCCCTCCCTCCCCTGGGGATGACACATCATGTCCCCCACCATGGGCTGGGACAGGCCAGATGGTGACTGCCCCCGTCAGCACCCACTTGGGACCTATTTGGTGTGGAGACATCATCTTTCTCTCATCATTACAAGGCCCAAAGACCAAAACGGGACTTGGGGTGAAGAAAGGTCAGAGAAGGTTAGTGAGAAAATTGGGGAGGGGGGAGTTGAGAGAGAGAGAGGAAGAATCAATAAGTGAAAAAATTATGAAAGATGTAGGGACGAACCACGCTACATGCCAAAACGCCATGCTAAGTGAAAGAAGCCAGACACAAAAGACTACATATCATAGGATTCCATTTATAGGCAATTTCTAAAAAAGGCAAAACTGTAGGAACGGCAGATCAGTGGTTGCTGGGAGCTGGGAAAGGAGCAGGGATTGGCTGCAAATAAGCTCCAGGGGAATTTGGGGGGTGCCGAAGGTGTTATAAAGTTGGTCCTTATGAATGTTTACACAACTGAATAAATTTGCTAAAGCTCATTGAACTGCACGTGAACTCAGTGGCATAATTGTAAGTTGTGCCTCCGGAAATATTCTAAAAAAAAAAAAAAGTGGAGGAAGGAAGAGAAAGAGGGTCAGAGAGCGGAGGAAGGAAAAGAGACGGGCAAAATGAAGAGAGGGAGGGGCTTCTCCCTCCTCCTTTCAAGACCCACGTTGCTCGAAAAGGAGGAGCCTGCTTCCCAGGCCCTTCTCTCTCCTGGGGCAGGGGCGGGGGGCTCGAAGGATACGATTTTGCTACGAAGGAGAGCCCCTGAGATGAATTATGGTGCCCATAGGTTTTAGGAAGGCTAGAATTACCCTGAAATCTTGGCCCAGTTTAACATTCCACAGTTAAAACCACTCAACTGTTAGAAACAAGTAGGTTCAACAGGGCTGCCCAGCCTCGAGACCAAAGATCTCGGTTAATAGAGCCTACACGAGCCATTCAAGTTGGAAGTACCTCCATGAGCTAAGTAAAATTCTTAAAACCTCAAGTTGTTCCATTTGTAGATGGAACCCCAAGCTCCATGAGAAAATAGGCCTTGACTTGTGTGTGTGCGCGCGAACTATCTTTAGTTTTAGTTTTTAGATCATGTCACAATCGCCCTCATTCAACCTCCTGAGCAGCTGGGGTTACAGGCCCACGCCACCGTGCCAGGTCATTTAGGAAGGGCTGAGAATTGTACCCAGTCTCCCAGGTGGCCCCAGCCAGTGGAACATGCAGCAGCGCACTGGACTGACAAGGCCTGTTTAAAAATGTGCTGTTTGGGGAACCAGCAGTTAGCGTAATGGCTATGTCGCTGGACTCCCACATAGTAGACCGCGGTTTGCGTCCCGGAGCCGGTGGCTTAAAACACGCTGGGCGTGTGTGCGTGCGTGCCCAAGATCCCGAGAGGAGAATGGAGGAGAAGGGATTGTGGCGTGACCATCCTCCCTGGGGGGTGATTTCTCGCTTTCTGTCTCTATGTCTCTGTCTGTCTGGCGAGCGCATGCGCCCTATAGTGAAAAACCTTCCAAAAAAAAAAAAAGTGCTGTTTGTAGAGAGCTAAATGGAATTGTAAGCGGTCGTGTAAACAGCTCGCAGCTGAAATCCTAGTAAGACGTAGCTGTGTTTTGGGCGGCCACCCTGAGACCATCATGGGTTACCTCAGGAAGTCGTGGGCTTTTCACAGCTGCGCTCTTTCTGCAGACTATTCAGGGATTTCCCCACACAACCAAGAATGCCTCCGAGGTTTTGGGCAGGGGTGGGGGTGTCTGGGGGCGCTCAGCAGAACTGATGGCTACCTGCACCATCAATCTAGCATCACAGCAGCCCGGGGTCTGCTGGCCCTGGGATTCTCATGGCTCTTGTAAAGGGACTGAGTCTCATCTACTCAAAGGCAGTGATGGGGGCCAAGTGGTGGCGCAGTGGTACTGCAACTGGACCCACATGGGAAAGGTCTTAGATTCGAGTCCTGGGACCTCCCTGGCCAGGCCAACTGAGACTGGAGGTTGGCTAGTGACAGAAAGGCCCCATGTGGGTGGGATGTCTCTCTCTCTCTTTCTCAAAATAAAATAAATTATAAAAAAAAATTTTTAAAGGCAGTGATGAAAAGGGTAAACCTGGGTAATGTTACCAGACCCTCAGAGATAGCACAGCGTGTGGAACCAGGGCACTCTCCAAGCCTTACCTCTTCAGGCATGGGCGCTGTGACCCTCGTTTATCAACCATCAGCAAAGGCCTTGCTTGCCAGGTTGTGTGGCAATGAGAAAAACGCATGCAAGACCTTACCAGGACCATGGGACATTTGCCACTTCGCAGAGAAGTCCAATCAAGGTAGTACAGGGCAGTCCTGGAGAGCTGGGACTGGGCATAAGCATTCCCCACTGATCTTTTATCCTCACAGTAAGCCTGTGAGGTAGACATGCTCCCCCCAAGTTACACAGGAGGAAACCTAACGTCCGGGAGGTTTAAACGTGCCCAAGGGTATAGGGTGTGAGTCAGTCTGTTCGCCAAGGCCCTGCCAGAGAGAGAGGGCATCCTTGCCAGGATAAGTATGCAGTCGCCGGGGCTGGAGGGTGCAGCAGGACCACATGGAAGAGAGGAAAAGCCTTGAAAGAAGGAGGAGCCCAGACAAGCAGAGGGGTGGTGTGTGGTGGCAGCAGCTGCCTACAATGCGGTTGCTGGGCAGGAGCCTTGGGTCCCCAAGGCCAGGTCAGGGAGCTGAGAGTCCATACATGGACAGAGGAAGCTACCAAAGAGCACCAAGGCAGGCTGGTGGTAACTTTCTGTGATAGGATCGGCGTCTAATATGTCAACCTGGCTCCCACCTCATTTCTATGCACCAGACGCCATGATCCTACGCCAGCCCAGGCTACTCAGGGCTCCTCCTCCACTGCCTCGGGAAGGGAGGCCACAGAACAAAAGGAAAGGGGTCATTCTTAGCCCTCACATCTCGAACAGGCATCTGAAACTCAGAGTTTCAAAGGAATCACAAGGCCTGCTGCAAGATCACATGGCCTCTCTCCGGTCCTGGGTCCTTGTTGCCCACCCCGGTGCTTTATAGTGCAGGAGAGCAGAGGAGAGTTGGCGAGTTCTTCATGCCTTTGTTAGTTTCCTCCTCTGTAAAATGGGGACCCACTCACGCTGTGTTGGGAGGACTGAGTTATTACATGTTAAGCGGAACAGGACCCACCCATGTTCACTATTTCGTTCTTACTACCCTGGAGGAATGGTCTCTCTGCAGCAGCGTCCTGAACCCCCATATCTCCTGTGTGGGGAAAGACACCACTCAGGTTTCCTAAGTCCCAGAGAGAGGCGCAGAAGGCAGTGCATCTCCCCTCCAGCCAGCAGGGACCTGCAGTCAGAGGGTCCCTGCAATCCCGGGACACTCCCTGGCACCTCGGAACTCAGCAGCATATAGAAGTGAAGACCCTGAACAAGGAGAACTTCACTGACCAGGACTCCCCTGAGATGGCTGTAACTGATGTTCTACCATCGGCTTGCAGGAGCCTGGGCCTTGAACTCTGAACTCTATGCCAGCTGCAAGTCCAGCCCCAGCAGGAAACGCCTGCTTGCTGCCTCCCTCCTCCTTTCTCCGGTCCTGGCACCCAGCCTGCTTTCCTGGACAAGGGAGGACTGAAATCCACCCCTCGAATGGTGCTGATACTGGTGGGAGTGAAGATTGAAATCAGCCTTTTCCTGGGGCCTCTTGGCAGCCTGGGCCCTACGATAAAGAAAAGCCTGGCCTGAACATCTGAGCACTTTCATCTCACCCTGGTCCCCCTTCTCAGCCCCTCCTCATTTCCTTGCTCTCCTTTCCCCTTCCCTCCCCTTTCCTGCCTGCCTTCCTTGGGGTTCCTCCTCAAAATGCAGCTCCTTACCTTGTGCCTGCATGGACTCAAGCCCTGGTGCTCGGGACAGCTTGGCCGGGCTCAAGCAGCTCTGTTCCAGAGGGCCATGTGGTGCGGCTGGCTGGCTCCTCGCCCCTGCTGCCTCACGGCGCTGCCCACTGGGCCAGGCCAGCTCTGCCAGGACACCTGGGAGGAGGCCAGCTCTGGCACGACCAGGAAAGGTTGCGAGAATGCTTCCTCTTCCCATTCATTCATGGATTCACTGAGCTGTCATCGAGTGCCCAGGTGGCCGGGGCTGGCAGCGTCACCCTGCAGGTGAAGGCTGGGCTCAGCGCCTGTATACGGTGCCCTTTGCCCAGGCTCACCAGGATGGGCCTCAGGGCATCTGCCGTCCAGCAAAAACCCTGGCACGTATCGGAGGTGCTTAATGTGTATTGAATTGAAATGAGTGGAAAGAAAAGAGGCTCTGCCACGTCGTCTAGCAGAACCAGGGCTGTCTGCAGCCAGTGGGCGAGCAGCCAGGGTGCAGGGTCTTCCTCCTGCTCCTGCAGAGCGTCCTTTAAAATGCCTCCGGGAGCACAGCGGCTTAGAACAAGGTCTCTGGGGAGCTCCAGGTGCCTGGCAGCTGTTGGAAACACTTGCAGGTGGGTGCAGAGCTCTGGGAAGACACCAGCCGCCCGAGGCAAGCAAAGAAGTGAGGATAGTAGATGCTCACCAGGCGTCGTTCCCCAAGCACCAGGCACTTGGGTCCTCATTCCCTCAGCCACCCCTCCTACCTCCAAGAGCCTGTGACCCTGCCTGTACCCTCTGCCTTCCTTCTCTCCTAGGGTCAGAGGGCATCAAGGGCGTTCCTGCCTCAGAGTGGCTCCCAGCAGCCTGGTCAAGTGATCCTTGACTCACAGCCAATGGCAGGACACTTAACTGCCAAGGGTTTGGAGAGGGAATCACTTCCACTTTGGAGAGGGAGAAGTGGGCTCATCATTAAGTGCCTCTCATAGGAAGGGGGCTTACCCACCCCCCGAGTGACCAGGCCTCTTCTATGGTCCTGCCACTGCTGGGACTGCCCAGAGGGGACAGCTGAAGGAGGTCCTCCAGGAAAGCAGCTCCCGAGCTCTCCCTAGGGCTCGGGTCTCAGGAGATAGCGCCCCATTCGTGCTGCAGTAGTTCCTGACTCTCCCTGCCTTTGCATGCCCCCCCCCCCAAGCCCTTCACAAATCCAGGTTGCGTTTGCTGGGGTTTTTATGAAGAACTGCTGGAAAGAAACACAGGAAACGAACAGGGCTGGAGGGTGCGGGCTGGATGGGGAGGGGGCAGGTGTGAGAGTGCTCAGCGTATGTCTTTTTAGATTGTCTAGGTTTTGAACCACATGACTGCACGGCCTATGCAGAAAAGGAGAAACTTCTTTTGAAAATTGTGAATGAGGCACACACACACGCACACACACCTGAACGCAATCACAGCTGCTGCTGTGATCCAAACAGCTCGCCGTCTTCTCAAGTCCGAATTATTGCAAGAACTTCCTCCCAGTCCTTCCTGTGTTTACTCCCCGTTTCCCATCCATTGTCCATTTCCCACATCCTAGTCAGGACGATCTTGTTACAAGACCAGTTGGAAAAGCCATTCCCACGGAAGTCCCGCCATCCTTACCATCCACACTCCACCACTGCCTCCAAGGCCTTGGGCAACCTGGCCTTCCTGACCCACCCCTCCATGCTCTCGTTCATCTTGCCCTAGCCACCCTAGTCTCCCCGATTGTCCTTGAAAGCACCAGGGACCCCACCCACCTCTGGGCCCTGGCCCAGATATTTGCATTGCTCTCTTCCCCACCTTCAGGCTCAAGCAGGTCTCACTCCCTCTGGTGAGACCCTCCCCAAGCAACTCTGACCCACAGGAGTGGCTCAGTTAAGCGTCCTCTGTCGGCCGGGCCTTCTTTCTGTCACTGCTTTTTATCTCCAGCTCAAACATCCACAGAATGAACGAGAGATGGGGTGCTTTCGGAGCCCAAGCTCCCCAAGGACCAATGTGAACTTTCGAGCAGCTAGCAGGCCGGCATAAGGGCTGCCTTGGAAGGAGAGTGATGCAGCCCATGCCAGGGCTGGCCCAGTACCCCGAATACCCCTCTGGGAGCCACAGCCCAGAAGAGACAGTCACGCTGGCATTTATGGAGCATGCATTTATGGAGCACGTACTGCACGAACTCCAAACCATTGTTCTAGTGCTTTGCATGGATGGCCTCGCTCCGCCCTTGGAGGCTGGCCCTCCTCCTGCCTCAGTCCGCTGGAAGATCAGCTGAGCGGCTGGAGCTGACGCAGCTGCTGGGCAGCAGGCGGCCTGGCTCCTGAGTTCTCACCATATATCCAGAGAGGAGGATGAGCAGGCCTGCAAGGGACAGGCAGGAGAGTGTCCCCAAGGGGCCAGAGATAGAAGCAAAATGGCAGAAAGAACCTGTGATGGAAGCTTCAAAGACGACATTTACCTCTAAAGGGACACGAGAGCCAGGCTCACAATGGACAGGCAGGACTTCCCTCTCAAGCCTCTTAAAGGAGTTTTATTTGTTTGCTTTTCTTTTTTCCTTTTTTCTTTTTTAAACAATCATGGCACATTTTTTAAAAAATCAAGAACTAGAAAAAGGGACCATGTCTTTGAGTCTGTGTTCACATTGTCCCGTGCTGTGGCACCAGGACTAGCCGCACCCCCTCCTGGCTGGGATTTGGCCTTTGGAAAGGCGCTGAGTTAGCTCCTGCCCCCTGGGCCCTCCAGGAGCTCGGCACTGTCCCCAAGGCCCCACCAGAGTGTGGGCTCCTGCTTGTCTGGGCTCTCAGGACTCTGGCAACTTACTCCTCTCTCGCCAAACCAGAGCCAAGAGCTGGAGACATCAGGGAATTTATTTTGGTCCCCACAGGGGACTCTTTCAGGGACAGAGCCCTCCCCCAACTGGCAGGAGATGACACCCCAGTCCAGCCCAGCTCCCCCATGGGAGGTCGGGGTGTCTCTCCTAGTCCTGTCTCCAGCCCAGCAGACACCATGCTGGTGTCCTGGTGCTCAGCCTGATCTACCTGGGCCCTCCTGCCATGCCCAGGGCCACCCCAGTGGGCCCAGGAATGATCAATGCTCCACCCCTCAGCTATACTCCCACCAAGAGCAAGAGGGCTCCCCAAGCCTCAAGGCTCTGGCTCAGAAGGAAGGGTTAGGGGAAAATAGGAAAAGGAAGTGGGCACAGAGCTGAGGCTGCTAGATGGGGAAATGGAAGCAAAGGAGAGCTGCCCGAGGGCATGGGGCTGCTCAGGCTCTGCAGTAGGAAAGGGTCTTGGGGTACAGTCAGCAGGCCTGAGATGGAGGGTGGGGAGGAAGAGGCAGAGAGGCTCTGTTCCCCCTCCCATCCTGCCTCTGGTTACAGTGGGGGCACAGGCCCAGGTGACAGACCTCAGGCCCCCAGAAAGGGAAACGCCACGCTGCACTTGGCTGGGTCTGAACCCAGTCCTCCCGGGATGGTGGGACCTGCCAGCCCAGGCCCTACAAGCCCCACTGCCAGCCGCAACTCCCAAAGCCACCCCTCCGTAGGCCAACTGGTCCGGTGGCTGGGGGAGCCTGGCCTCCCCAACCCTCCTGCCCCCGCCCTGCCTACGCCCTTGGCTCTAGTCTTGCTGCTCATTCATTTCCATGTCGGACACCAGGATGTTCTTCTCGGTGGTCTCGCCGGGGCCGGAGCTGCTGGTGCGGCTGTAGCGGGCGCCCTCGAAAGCCCCTCGCTCGGCGTTCTGTCGCCGCCGGTAGAGGATGAGGGCTGCGGTCAGCAGGGCTAGGAGCAGCAGCACCGCCATCAGCACCACCACCAAGGCCGCTGGGTTCTCCGGGAGCGCTGCTGTGGCAGGGGCGTGTTAGGCCTGTGCCCTGCCCACCTGCCCACCCAGAGTGAGGGGAGGGGAAGGGCAGGGCTCATCTCAGCCCCACTTCAACTCACCTGATGGGGAGAAGCTGCTCTGCTCAGCTGCGGGCAAGAGGGATGGGGCCAGTTAAGAGCAATGGTGGTGACAATAAAATGGTATAAGCAACCCCATCTAAAGCACTCCCCGAGACACACTTGACTTCACTGTAACTCCCGTTTTACATATGAGGATACCGAGGCCAGAGTTTAAGAAACCTGCCCAGGACACAGAGTTAATAATTGATGTGGCCAGGGCTCGAACCCCGTCCGTGCCCTTGACTGCTACACAGCAACAGGGTTTTGCTGACTACTAGTTTGGCGGCAAACCAGGGCCAGTTCTTCCTGCAGACTAAACTCAGGAGGGCCCTGGCTGCTGGGTGTGGTACTTTCATGCCTTCCCATCCACTGTGGTCCCTGCCGATTACAAGCAGCTCCCGGCCCCACCCTGGGACCAGCTGCCTGGGGTGCAGGAAGCTGGGCGCAAGCCTGGCAGGGCACTCACCGCGAGGGAGCTTGCAGACGACGCCCATGGTGACGTTGGTGCAGGCGCCGGGGCGCCACAGCCCGCTGTGGCTCTGGATCCAGTAGCAGCTGTTGTGGCTCAGCATGCTGGGGCCCAGGCCGGGGGGGGCCCAGTTGGAGTAGTTCACGGCGGTGTTGTCCTGCCAGACCAGGGTGCCCCCTACGGCAGAGAAGACACTGAGGGGTGTGAGGGAGGGGAGACGAGGCAGAGCAGCAGCTGGGTGGGAGCAGGGCTGTTCCAGAGCCAGTTCTCCCTCCCCACCCCCTCCCCATCCAAGCGCCTCTCCTCCAGCCTGCACCCTGACCCTCCCCACTCCACACAGGGTACCCACCTTTGGGGTTGAAGTTCATGCCCAGCCAGGCTCCCCGACTTTGGTCCTCAGAGCTCTGCAGGTGCTCCCAGACAAACACGTTCTCCATCTCATCCAGGATGGACAGGACTGTCCCACCCACTGGACACAGGAGGGTCCATGTCAGGGCAGACGGGCCTCTCTGGGGAGGCAAAGCTCCCCGGTCCAGCAGCCCTCCTCGAGTAGAGGACAGTGTGGAGTGCATGTGTATGTTTGTGCACGTGTGTTTGTACACGCTTATGCTCGTGCATATGTGTGCATGTGTTTGTGCACACTTATACTCGTGCACACACTGGGGTATATACACATCACGTCACACACGGCCTCTGTGTCTGAGAACAGACAGGGTTTTTGCCAGAGGCTGTCTTCGGGTACAGTGTAGCACAGGGACTGCATATGGGGGGTGTGTCCAGGAGGAGGTGGCCTGGCCCCACCTACCTCTCTGGCAGTGCTGCAGTGCCTCCTTGTGGCCCAGCAGCAGCTCCATGTGGAAGGAGTAGCAGTGCTCCCGAAAGGGAATCCAAGCTGAGTCGGCCAGCCCCTGGGGACAGCTGCCATGGTAGCTTATTTTTCGAGGAGAAGGGGTTCCTGTGGGGGTGCAGGAGTGAGGAAGTGACCCAGCACCCTCCTCAGGACCACCAACACCCTGTCCACGCTCTGACACCAGCTGGTAGGCACTCACCACGGTTAACTCCACACACAGCCCCCTGCAGCTTGGTGTCGCAGCTGGTAGTGCGCCAGGCCCCATCCACATCCACATAGACGCAGCCCCCCAGCTGCCGGGGCTCCTCATCCTGCCAGCCCACGTAGCTCAGAGGCTCCTCTGAGACCCAGGAGTACCTCCAGGAGCCCTGGGCACCAGAGGAGTTGGGGAGACCAGTCAGGATGAGGGGGCAGATAAGGTGGGAGGAGAAGAAGGGACAGGGAGGGAGATGAAGGCAGTGGTGGGATGGGGCTGGAGCAAGAGCACTGGAAGCCCACCTCTTCACTGGCCAGCCCGATCCAGAGCGGCGTGTGCAGCCTCCAGGCGGCCTGTGTGAGAAAGGCCTGGGTGTAGGGGTTGGGCACGTGTGCCAGGCTAGCATTGTGGCTCTCGCAGAGCAGGAGGGCGTCATGCCAGCGCAGCGGCTTCTGCAGCAGTCGGAAGGTGCCATTGAGGTAGGAGAGCTCGGTGCCCAGGGCAGGGGGTGGGCTCAGGGAGGGGTCTACAGAAAAGGGGGCAGGGCTCAGGCCAGGCTCTGCCTCCCTCACCCCATTCCCAGACGTCAGTAAAGACCAGGTCTCCAGTGGGCATAGCGCTTGCACAGACTAATATGTGGTTGCCACAAACAGAGGAAGTCAGGCAGGCCTGGGCCAAATCCTACTCGAGGGACCCAGGGCAGAGTGACGCATGCATAAGCTGAAGGTGCCTTAGACACAGAACCTCAGCGTCCCCAACTCCACTCACATCAGCACTGCACAGAGCCCAGCATCTAGCCCTCCTGGGTCAGCCCCCACACCGCAAACCTTCCCTGAGACCTCTCGGTGTCACTGCCTGGCCTTCTTACTGATGCCTCGCCCGTTGCCCATCTGTGCCCAGGCAGACACATGACTCTGGGGGGGACTGCAGAAGCCCTGAGGTCAGGGACTGTGTTTCACTCTTCTTGGCACAGCCCTCAGCAGCCAGCCCAGGGGTGGGGCCCGGCTGGGGTTCCTGGGTTCACGGTGACACATACCAGTGCCCTTCTGGCAGATGAAGCCATGTGTCTCGTCCGTGCAGCTCCGATCATCCCAGCGGCCAGTGAAGTGGGCTGAGGGGCTGTGCAGGACCACCGCACAGCTGGTCTGGGGGCAAGGAACTGCTCAGGGGAGCCTTAGCAGCCATCCCCGCATGCACAGAGGTTGGGAGAGGGGAGGCCTGGGGGCAAAGACAGCCAGGCAGGTTAGGGCAGTGGGGTGGGAAGAGGGTGGAGGGGCATCCTCACCAGTTTGTTGCTGCTGGGAGCAGGGCTAGGGCCAGAGGGCTCCCCCGGTGCCCAGTTGGTGTACAACAGAGGCTCCTGCTCCACCCACTGGAAGGCCCTCGGTGAGGCGTGGAGGCCGATCCAAAGGTCAAAGGTCACATTGGGCAGGCTGGCCGTGATGAATGCTGCAGTCCCCGGGAGAGAGTTGTGAGTGGCAGGAAGCTCCCTGTTTCTCTCTATTCTAGCCACTGGGGGGACTGTATCTGAGGGCTGTATCTTCCCACGGGCTGGCCCGACCTTGCTCTAAGGGGTTCGCCACAGTGACCAGCTGGGCCTCTTGCTGTTCACACGAGAACTGTGCCTCCGACCACTTCACCCGGTCTTGGGGGTCCTGGCCCTGGATCCGGAAACACTGCAGGGCAGAGGAGGAGGTGTGAAGTCCAGTTCAACCTTCCTGTCCACGAACCCAGAAACCCCACTGTGTAGCCCTTGAGGCAAGTCTTGGAGAGAGGGGGGACTTTGAGACTCATGAGAGAATAACTGAGAGCCAGAATATTCAACTCTTCTTGGGCAAACCTTCCAACCTGGTGCAGTGGATTCACACACACTTGTCCACACTCCAGGGATGTTTTTAAACAGGATGATTTGGGGACCAGCTTGCATTAATGGTTACATCACTGGACTACCATGTAGTCGATCGACCACAGTTCGAGTCCCTGATCTGGTGACTTAAAACTCATGTAAGGGACGTGTACATGCATGCCCAAAATCCTGAGAGGAGAATGGGAGAGAAGGGATTGCAGTCTGGCCTGCCCCCCGGGGGTTGATTTCTCATTTTCTGTCTCTCTGTCTCTCTGGTGAGTGCATGCGCTCTATAGCAAAACTCTCTCTTAATAAATAAATAAGTAAACAGAAAGTTTTCTTTGGACCACCAAAGGTTCTATTTCCTATGACAATAGTGTGTAGGCCAGGCACTGAGAGGATGGGGACAAGATCTGTCTTGCTGCTAGAGGCTGAATATGTCCCCCAAAGATTCATGTGTTCAGCCACTGTGATGGAATTCAGTGGGTGAAAACTTAATCTGATTATGTGGGGTAAATGGGGGGCTGGTAAGGAATCAGTGATGGGAGTAGGGAGAGGCCCCCATGACTGCCTCCTGGCGTGTATATAGAGGAAATGAGGCAGGCAGAGGCCACATGGATGCAGACCCCACTCAACTAAAGATCCTGTCCTCTGCCCTGCTGTAGCCCCACGGAGTTGGACCCTGAGCCTCCAAACCATGAAGTAAACCTACATTTCTTTTTAAATAATCACCCAGTCTTGGGTGGCTAAGTGGCTTAGAGACTCCCATATGACCAACCACATTTCAAACCTCAGACCCGGCGGCTTGAAAATCGCACTGGGCATGTGTACATGTATGCCAAAAAACTATAAGAGGAGAATGGAGGTGAAGGGATTACAGTGTGGCCACCCCCCCTGGAGAGTGACTTCTCATTTTCTCTCTCTGTTTCTGTATCTCTCCTGTGAATGCACATATCCGATGCCAAAAACCTGGGGGGTGGGGGTGTCACCCAATCTCAGGTATTCCTGTTAGTAATGCAATAACAGACTACGGCAAGTTGCTTTCTGCTAGACACCATTCTGACCTCTGTGGGCTTGTCTTTTGAACTTACATCAGGACCCCTAGGCTATTTGTATCTCTGTTTTTGTATAGTCCTTGTTAGGTGGCATTATCTAATCTATAATTTTACATTTCTCCTTTTTTCAGCTTCATTACTTTAATACGGTCAAAAGAAGTCTGTGTAGGAAATCTTGCATCAAGTGATGATAACAATTTACTTTAGAAAATGAATAATTTCAGGACCAGCAGTTAGCATAATGGCTATGTCACTGGACTCCCATGTAGTCAACCATGGACAATCGAGTCCCAGACCTGGTGACTTAAACTCACACCGGGCGCGTGTGCGTGCGTGCTCAAGATCCCGAGAGAAGAATGGAGGAGAAGGGATTGCGGCATGGCCATCCCCCCTTGGGGAGTGATTTCTCGCTTTCTGTCTGTCTCTCTCTGACTGGCTGGCAAGTGCACATGCCCCATAGCAAAAACCTCTCCAAAAATAAATAAATAAATAAATTTTAAAAAAGAGAAAATGAATAATTTCCAGTAATTTTTTGCTCAGAGGCAGTGTGATGGGGGAGAAAGAGCCACACAGACAGGGGTGGCAGCCAGGAGACGGGGAGGCAGGGGTCAGATTCCAGCTCTCACTTAACCTTTTTGGCCTCAATTAACTCTTCTATAAAGTGGGAAATAGAAAGGCTGTCCGGGGTCAATTGAAGGATGGGAGGTAACAGCGCATGACACAGAGTAGGCGCTTCACCAGTGAGAGCTCTTCTATGAACGATTAACTCCAGCACGAGCTTTACTGATGCAGAGGCAGATGGACACAGACCATTTTTCCTTGTAAACTTCTGCCAGAGGGTACATGTGCTCACCAGAGAGGAACAGAGACTGAGGGCAGGAAAGAGAGAAAGCATCTCCCCACCCCCCACAATGGGGACTGGTCACGCCACAATCCCTTCCTGTCAGGATTTGGGGCATGCACACACATGTGGCCAGTGTCTGTCTCAAGCCACCAGGTCTGAGACTTGAATCACGGGTCAGCCATGTAGGATCTGACTGCCTTTACCACCAGATCACAGAGCCAGCCTGGGGTAGGCGATTACAAACCCAGAAATAATGGAAGGGTTTTTTGAAGGTTTGTCACAAAGTTCATGGATTTAATTTCACAGAAGTCGTCCTGAGCCATGCTGAGATTCCACTTTAATAACTAGAATTAATCATAAAATTAGAAGCAGCGATGTCATGCCAGTACCAGCAAGAAGGAACAGCTGAAGAGAGTAATCACTTCAGTCCAGCAAGCACTCAGGGCTCTCAAGCCCTCAGGACTCCCAGCCACATGCAACATGCGGGCTTCAAAAAGTTCATGAGGGCTGGCCCCATGCCCTGGTGGTTTAGGGCGCTGGATCCCACAAGGCCAAATGTGGTTCAAATCCTGATTCTGGTGGCTTAAGAAACATGCTGGGCACATGTGCATGCCCCAAATCCTGCCAGGATGGAGACATGGAGAAAAGATTGCAGTGTGAACACGTCCCATTAAGGGGTGCTTTGTTTTTCCCTCTCTTCCTCACCGTCTCTATCTCTCTCTGGCAAGTGTATGTATTCTCTGACCACCACAACCCCCCCAAAAAAAGGCTAAGGGGAAGAAGCCATGAGAATACAATTTTTGGACAAATGTAATGACAACAGAGAATGCTATGGGACCAGCAGTTGGCATAATGGCTATGTCACTGGACTCCCATGGAGCCGACTGCAGTTTGAGTTTCAGACCCAGTGGCTTAAACTCACGCTGGGTGCATGTGTGTGTGTGCCCAAGATCCCGAGAGGAGAATGGAGGAGAAGGGATTGTGGCACGGTCATCCCCCTTGGGGGGTGATTTCTGTCTGTCTTTCTGGCAAGCGCATGCACCCTATAGCAAAAACCTCTCCAAAATAAAAATCAAAAGGAAAAAAGAAAAAGAGAATGCTATGACACCAAGAAAGAAAGCTGGACATAAAATTATGTTATTTAGTACGATCTCAATCACCTGGAA